AGCCACGCACCAAAGGTCACTCTTACCTAGGGTCACTCTTGCGTGGTCTCTTCCTGATCCTGATTCGCCGCGGCTGCTCCCGTCTCGGGCCAGCGAGCTTCCGCCCTCTGAGCGCTGCCACGGCGAGCTCTTTCACACTCCGAGCTTTCCTTTGCTGCGGTGTGGGAGAGGGTTTCGGCCACGCGCCGACGTGGTGAGGGGAGGGGGAAGGGTTTCTTAGAAGCACCCCTGCTTCTTAGAAGGCGCGGGCCATATCTATAGATGTAAGGCCGGCGCCTCCTGAGAAGCAGCCTCCTCCTAAGAAGCTCTCCCCCCTCCCTCCACCCCCTTGTGCGCGCCGCCAAGGGTCGGGGCCGTGGGCATCGTCGCCCGAGCCACGTTCGCAGCAGGCCGGGACGTCCGGTCAGGCGGGCGCGGACGGTCTGCAGAGCCCGCGGCGCCCAGTCTGCCGACGGCACCCTCGCGGCGGGCGCGCCGCCCCCGTCCGCCGCGCCGCCGTGCCCCCGTCGGGCCCCCCTCGCTGCCCCGCGGCCGCGCGATCGAGCCTCTGCGTGCCCATGGGAGGCGCACCGCCGGGCCTCGGAGCAGCCTCCGGACTTGCAAGCAGTGGCGAAGCGTCCGGGCTCGCCTGTGGGCCCACCAAGCACTGTTCCCAGAACCGCGTGTGGCTTGCACGAGATGTTCGTAGAACATTTCTGGCTGGGAGTGTCTTGTTAGAACACATCGGGTTTCTGTTCTAAGAAAATGGTTTTTGTTCTTGGCGCACTTGTGGGTTCGAAGAACGCTTCGTGGTAGGACTACAGGAATGCCGGGACGGTCGGTCCCTGCTCAGACACGCTGACATCCTGGCCTTGCACTTTTTTCACCACGGGCGTTTTTGCTCCATTTCGGGCCCTGGGGCCCTCACAGATCGATCCGGCCCGAAGAGTGACACAGAAAGATGCGGTCCGGGGCTCCGGGCGAGATTTTTGGCGACGTCGCAAGTTTCAGGACCCTTTGGCGGTGCTTGGCGACTTTTGGCGTGATGTTTGGCGATTTGTGGCGTGATGTCTGGCGATTTTTGGCGTGATGTTTGGCGATTTTTGGCGATGGTGCATTTTTCCTGCAGCGTCGGATCGCCGCCACGAGCGGAGCCACCGGCCGCCGCACGGGCGCCGCCGGTGGTGGAGCTGGAGCCCCTCGAAGTACAGTCGGACTTGTTTGGACAGGGCGCTCGAGAGGACACAAGACCCCTTCTCGGCGGCGAGGGAGGGGGGGAATTGAGAAGGAGAGGGCCTTCTCAGAAGGCGGCGGGACTTCTCGGAAGCCCTCGCGCCTCCTGAGAAGTTTTTTCTGTCTCCGGGGAAGGCTTAGAAAACTTCTCAGAAGTCCGGGGGACTTCCGAGCCTTCTGAGAAGGTACGCCCCTTCTCACTTCCCCCCCTGGCTCGCCGCCTACTTTCGAGAGCCAAATTGCCACAGGAATGTCGGAGGCATGGGCCGCGAGACACAGGACACAAAGGGTACCCTTGACTTGGCAGGGTCGGCCTACTAGTCCGAGCAGACTGTATGATGGCTACCCACGTCGATGTGACACCACTTTTGATGCTCCAACCCGCTTTAGCTTTGTCCGCCAGAGAGAATTTCGAGCACCAAGACTGCACAGAAATTGCAGGGTTGTCACGTGTCGGGCCCTGGGAGGCGATACTCCTTCGACACTGTTCCGATACTGTTCGGGGTGCTCGAAAGTATTTCTGGGATGTGGGCCTCAAGTGCGACGTTAGCAACATGAGACACCACTCGTCGACCTGCCTGGCAGCGCTAGCATCTTCCACCCGTGCGCACCCACCCACGGGTACAGCGCCTCCACCCAGACCCCGCGCGTCGTGAACAACTCACTATTCTCGGCCTCTGGGGGGCCTTCCCAGGCCTCGAGACCGTCCGAAAACGACCTGGGTGGGAAACCGTTCCCGGGGAAGGGGTCCAGACCTCCTGGGGTCGAGGTTGTGAACAAATCACAACATCGGGGGTCTGGGCATGGTGTCCTGGTGGTAGTCGAGATCCGGTGTCAGGATGGCGTTCGCTTTGGACCTCGTGATCGTGTCTTTCGGCGTCCTGCGGCCGATGGCAGCGCCGGGAGGATTCGAAAGTGTACAGCCTTTGCGCCTCCACTGTCGGTGTCCTCTCAGACTTGCCTCGGGCCAGGGAGAGCCCCGACACCCTGGCCTCAGCACGTCGTTGGCGACGCTCACCCTGGCACTGCTCAAGGGGGCTCTGGCTTCAGCGTAACTGTGACGACTCTGACCCCGGCACTGCTCTCACTCCAGCAACATTGCAGCGACTCTGGCTCTGGCACTGCGCAGGGGTTCTGACCTCAGCAGAACCGTGGCGACTCCGACCCTGGCGCTTCCCAGGGGCTCTGACATGAGCAGAATTTCTGGCGACGCCGTCGGCCGAAATCGCAGTCCATGCCATTCAACGGACCGTCGTCCTCCTCTTCCTCCTCCTCGTCCTCCTCCTCCTCCTCCTCCTTCTCTCTCATTCTCCTCCTCCTCCTCCTCCTCGCTTCTTCGCCATCTTTTGAAAGCGTCCAAGAAAGATTGCGGAGGCACCTCCCTGGCTTGCATCGGACAGGGTCCGCTGCTCCGCCTCGCCGGCCTCGTCAACGGACCCCTCTGACTGGTGAGGCTGCGACACCAGCCCCTCCCCTCCTCCTCCTCCTCCTCCTCCTCCTCCTCCTCCTCCTCCGCCTCCTCCTCCTCCTCCTCCTCCTCCTGCTCCTCCTGCTCCCCCCGTTCCTCCTGCTCCTCCCACCTTCAGCTGCTTGATGCAGGCTTGCGTCCCCACATCACGGGGACCAGGCTTGAGAGGCAGGCTTGAGGCAGGCTTGCCCACGCAGACCGCTTGCATCTTGCACGTCTTCGAATTTGATGTTGATGTCGGATGCCTGGCGCTGGTCGGCAGATCTCTTGGCATCATCTTCCGCAATGGCGGCCGCCGTCCTCTTGTACTCCGCCTGCAGCGGGCTGGTCTCGATCTTCTTCGCTGCCAATGATTATGTTCTTGCCTCCTGCGCCTCTTCCATCTTTTCGATCTGCTGGCTCTTCTCTGCGATCTCGGCCTCCAACTTGGTAGCTTGCTGCTCTGCTTTGTGGAGGTCATGCGCCGTCCTCCTGTGAGCCACAGCTGGGGTACGCATCGCCTGCTGATGCTCCTTGATCGCCGTGATCTTCTCGTTGGCGGCCGTGCGGATCGGATCGCCGTCGCCGCTAGGGAGGGCCTCGAGTGCGGACTCATACATCGCCAGCTGCGACGCCAGCTTCGCCTTCTCGGTGGTCTGCTCATCGTCTCCATCGTCCGATTGGTTCCGGATCGACCCCCGCGCGCGGCTGCCTCGGGGTCTCCTTGCCTCGCCTGGGCCACGACGCCTGTGATGCGGCCCCGCCCCCGCCCTGGCCCTGCTGCTGTCCCCGCAGGAGGTCCTCGATCTCTGCCAGCCTCTTGCTCGTCTCGTCCTTGCCCCGTGCCCGGGGCGGAGAGAGGCTGCCTCTTGCGCTGCATCTCCGGGGGGGCCCTCGCCTGCCCCGAGCACGGGTGTCTTCTCTTGGGCCTGCCGCGGGCTCCCTGCGGGCTCGACGCGGATTCGGCGTGGGCTCGACACGGCTCCGACGAGGATTCGGCGTGCATTCGCCACGGATTCGGCGCGGATAGGGCCGCGCCGGGACTGGCAAAGCCTCCCGAGGATGCAGCGTAGTGCTTTGCACCACGACCTTGGATGATCTCGCTGCGAGCATCCCAGGCTCAGTTTTAACCGATCCCCATCCCCATCCCCATCCCCATCTCGACCCCATCATCCCGCCACCCCAGTTGGGGACCTGCCCCTCAAAACCCAAGGGGAACAGCATGCATTCCCATCTATAGGGTTAAGTCGAGCCTGTCCCTCTACAGGGGGAATATTCAAACATAGTTCAGAAATAGTCTGAGGTCTGGGGGCTATTTTTTAAGTTTTGTTTTACCATTCTGGAATACTGTTTGAGAATTTTTCATTTGTCGTCAAAGATCTCCCAGTAGGGGGACAGGCCCGACATAACTATAGGGGGGTAAATCGGCCAGTGGGCCCAAGGCCACACCAGTGGGGACAGGCATCGGTTCAACGCGCTGCTCCCAGGCAGCATTCCGCGTCCGCAGCGGCGCCTCGCTCCCGCACCGGCGGCGCAGCCGTGCAGCCCATCCCCAGCCTCGAACCTATCCCTATCCCTAAGGTTGACACGCCGAAAGGCGATGGCAATCTTAGGGATGCGCCCTCAAAACCTGACACTGAGGGAATCCCTAAGATTGGCATCGTGATGGGGCGATGCCCAGCATAGGGATAGGGATGTGTTCCAGGCTGGTAAGCCGATCCCTCGCCGCTGTGGAGCACCGCCCCCTCAGGCCCACGCCGGCCGCCCCTCGGGCCGCGGAGAATGCGCGGGAGGTGGCGGCCCCTGTCGCGTCTCGCCGGCATCTCCTTCGTGCCACCGGCGGTCCCCAGGGCGTCCCCCCACGCCGGTGAAGGGAGCTTCTCTCCGCGGAGGAGGAAGAGTGGCCCGTGCCGCTGCCCTTCCCTCGTTGTCCCCCGTTTGGGGGAGGGGCGTCTTGGGAGGCCCTCGTCGCTACCGCTGGATCCGCTTCGGATTGTTGGTCAGAGCGCGTCCCGGCGGAGGTCGGGGGAGGAGCCGTATCGGTCCCGTTTGGTTTCCTAAGTGACAGGAGGAGACTCGGGGTAGTGCCTCGGAGCAGAGGTCTCCACGCGTTGCGCCTCGCAGCAAGCATCTGGAGCCAAAACGGCTACGGAAGGAGGTGGAGAGAGGGGTCGAAGGAGGAGGGGGAGGAGTAGGCAGTCAGGGGAATGCTGGGGAGGATGGGGAAGTGGTGGTGTGAGGAGGAGGAGGAGGAGGAGGAGGAGGAGGAGGAGGAGGAGAAATAATAATTTTAAATTATGGGAGGCAAACGCAGGCAGTCGTGCAGGGATGCGGCAGCCAGGTTCTTGGGCAGGGTCTCCAGCTACAATAACGAGCAGAAGGTAGGGTTCATCCAGTGCGACGACATATACCACCAGACTGGCAAGGAGGGCCCGTGCTCCAGCATAGCGCCCACACTGCGTAGGTCTGCGGACAACGCACCCCGCCGAGGCAATCTTCCCAGACGTACCAGTATTTGATTTTCTCTAGCCGCTGGCCCCCAGTCATCTCGATCCGTCCATGCTCTTCATCCTGAGATGTTCTGCTGAAGGTCCCTTTGCCTCGTAACGGCCCCCGGACGCCGAAAGTTTCAGAATTATGCATTGATTTTCGAGTCGCAAGCAGCTCAGGCCCCCAGAACCAAGCACAGCTCACCACAATCCGACAGCCATTTCTGGCTGCTCGTCGGCGGGGTGTCGACGCCGAATGCTGTGAACATCCATTGTTTATCTCACAGGCTGTTTCTCTTCCTGTCGAACCTTCATGGTCTCCTCTCTCCTTTCGTTCCCTCCTCCCCCCTTCCCGCCCTCGATTCATTCATTGCCATCTCTCCTCGCTGCCACCCCTCCCTTCACTTCCCCGTCTCGTTCTTCCCATCCCGTTTTCCCCTTCCGCCTCCTCATCTTTCGCCGTCTCCCCCTCTCCCCTTTCCTTCTCATCATCCTCATGCCCCCTCCCGCCAGATGAGGCGTTGCTGTAATTAGGTGGCTCAGTACTTGGATTGGTTGTCGTTGAGGAGTGTCCCTTCCGACGTGTCCGATCCAATGCTCGTCCTTTTTCCCGATGCGCGTGCAAAGCGATCACCACAGATCCAACAGGGGATGGATCGACGGCGTGGCAAAGTGGGCCCGCACATCCTGTGGAGAGTATTTGCGGTCAATTGCGCCATATAGCATTGTGCGGTCGCAAGCGGAAGAGGCATGCACGCACCGACAGCTACACGGTAATATGATCGGGTGATTCGGTCTGCCGGTTTGTTCGTTTCTCCCGCTCCCAAACTTGTTCTGTTGTCTGTCCAGCTGCGTGCGGCAAGTCCCGCCACTGTGCCAGCGCAGCGCTCTGGGTGAAGACCCTTCGAGCTCCGCCGAGAAGGCCGTGACGTGCGACATCGTTCGCCTTTGCTTTTGCGGTGGCCGTAACATGTGACACGCTCTTCCGCGTCGTGTCGGGGTGTCTCTCCTCGTCAGCGTCGTCGTCGCCGTCTTCCTCCTCGTCGTATTTGCCGTCGACGTCGTCGTCGTCGTCGTCGTCGTCGTCGTCTGTGTCGTCGTCGTCTTTCTCGTCGTTGTCTTCGCCTTCCTCCCGCTTCTTCTTCTTCTTCTTCTTCGTCACTCCTCCTCCCCTTTTTGAGGCCTCCTGGGGGGCTCTTGGGGGCCTCTTGAAGACCTCTTGGAGGCTTGCCGCTTGGGGGCGTCTTGGGGGCCACTCGAGGCCTGCTCGGGGCTCCTTGGGGGCAGTCTTAGGGCGATGGCGCTCTTGGGCCGTCTGGCGGAGTGTTTTTAGGGCCTAGGGGGCGTCTATGGGCTGTCTTGGGGCCCTCTCGGAGCCCTTTATAGTTGTCTTGGTGGTCTCGTTGGCTGTCTTGTTGCCAGCCTCTCGGGCCAAAGCGACGCTTCCCGTTCTTGTTCGGTCAGGCTTCTGGAAATGCCTTGTTGGCTTGAGATGTTATCGAAAGCTCGGCTTTGGAGGGGGCTCCGAGCCAGCATCATTTTGAAATCGCAGAGGGTTCCAAAACGACACAACAGATCCACAAGCGGTTCTGCAGAGGACGCCAAGAGCGCCCCAAGTGGCGTTCACGAGCGCCCCAAGAGGCCCCTAGACAGCCGAAGTCAGCCCAAGATGGTGCCCAGGCAGCCTGAACAAGCCCCCGACAGAACCCTGCGACACGCCCAGACAGCCCAAGAAGTCCCCAGTAGCCCCCAGGAAAACCCCGACAGGCCCCCGAGAGACCCGAGAGTTCCCCAGTATGCCCCAAGATAGCCCCAGACGGCCCCTAACAGCCACCAGTGTAGCTTCCGTCGCCTTGTCGTCGCCATCATCCTTCTGTTCTCCCTCTACACCCATCAGACATCTTAAGAAATCGCGCTAAATTTTATGGACTCCAGATTTCGCATAGGAGAACTCAAGAACCTGGACTGGGCCCTAGGCGTTTTCTTCGAGTGTTTTGTCGTATGAGTTTCGAATGTCTGGATCTGGACTCCGGTTTGAGAAAGCGCTTGGCATGAAGGTCATTTCCTTGGCGTAAGATTATCTCCGGAGGAGAAAAAGCACACAGACACAATTCATCTACGATTCCTTAGAAAATATGGGAAAATATGGGCAATGGGGGGAAATCAGAAACCCCGAAAATATGGGAAAAGATGGGGGATCCTTTTATTTGTGTGTATTTCTCTCTGTGTGTGTGTGTCCCAGGGCCCCTTCATTATCTTACTTCCAAGCAGGGGTGTACAAGACCAGAGGACGGCATCGGTGCTTCCCGCTCCTGGCCGCTCGACCCTCTCGCCTGCGCCGCGGCGCCTCCGCCTGGCCCCTCCCGCGCTCTTCGCGCCCAGGGCCTCGACAGGGCGCTCCCTCCCCTCCGACGACGCCGACGACGGCAACGGTCATCCTTCCTTCACTCGGCGGCGAGCGAGGGGGGGAGGTGAAAAGGGGAAGGCCTTTTCAGAAGGCTCGGAAAACCCCCCTGCCCTTCCGAGAAGCTTCCTGCGTCAGCTTTTCCGGAGACGCCACGACAAGCTTCTCAGACGGCGCTAGGGTTTCTGGGAAGGTTTGCCGCCTTCTGAGAAGGCCTTTTCCTTCTCACTTCACCCCTCGCTCGCCGCCGATGTATGTTCCCCCTCCGAGCCCAATGGATGAAATCGGCGCTTCCCGTTCTTGTCCGATGAGGCTCTCGCTCGCGCCGCGGCGCCTCCACCTGGCCCCTCGCAGGCTCTTCCCGCGTCTCATGTCCAGTGCACAGGGCCCCTGTGCACTGAACACCAGACGCGGGAAGACGGCACCCTGTGCACTGTGCACTGCACAGACGCTGGCCACACGCCGCCGACGGCGACGGCGATGACGGACCCGCCATGCGGCCGACGGGCCGCAGGAGGTCTGCGTTCACGGCAGCGTCTTGGAGAGCGCCAAGGCTGGGCCTGGGGACTCCGTGGTCTTCTTCGTCTTCTGGAAGGCGGCTGCGCCCATGGCCGCGCCCTCGACGAGTGATGGCGCCCGCTGTTCGAAGATGCTGGCCCTCCGCCGCACCGCGGTCTGAGCGGCAGCCAGGCCAGACGAGAGAGGGCGCGGCGAGAACCGAGACCTCGACGACTGGCGTGGCGCCCCACGGCCCAGGCGTCCGGGGGCCCTGCGCGGGCTCAGGGCGTGTCGGAAGTCCCTCCGCGATGCACACGCACGCCCTCTCCGGATGGCCCTCGGCCCGGCCCGCCACTGTGCCCAGGGTCGTGCGTCGGCGTCTGCAGGGCTGCCTGCTGGGGTCTTTGGGGGGGCCTCTCGGGAGCCCGAGGGTAAACCATCAATGCATAAACAGACTCATTAGTGCATAATGCTTGGTCGATTATGCATAAAGCTTGTTTTATACAATAACTTTTGGTGAATACAGTGGTGAATACAGTGGTGAATACAGTGGTGAATACAGTGGTGAGTACAGTGGTGAATACAGTAATGAATACAGTGATAAATACAGTAATGAATACAGTAATGAATACAGTAGTTGTAGACAATGAGTGAATACAGCAGTGGTTGAATACAGTACAGTAGGTGAATACAGGAGGTGCATACAGGAAGTGAATACAGCAGTGGTTGAATACAGTACAGTCGGTGAATACAGGAGGTGAATACAGGAGGTGAATACAGGAGGTGAATACAGGAGGTGAATACAGGAAGTGAATACAGGAGGTGAATACAGGAGGTGAATACAATAGGTGAATACAGGAGGTGAATACAGTAGGTGAGTACAGTAATGAAGACAGTAGGTGACAGTAGGTCAATACAGTAGGTGAATACAGGATGTCAATACAGGAGGTCAATACAGGAGGTGAATACAGTAGGTGAATACAGTCGGTGAATACAGTGGGTCGATACAGTAGGTCAATGCACTAGGTCAATCCAGTAGGCGAATACAGTAAGTTAACACACGCCCGAAACGCACAACCCGGAAACTATACATGGTAGTTTCCGAATTGTGGGTTTGGGCGCCCTTTCGCAGCTGCAGGCTCCACATGCGCCACATTTCAAGTTTCACGGCCGCAGGCGCCACATACGCCACACTTCGCAGCCGCAGCCGCCACATGTGGCGCCTGTGGCTGTGACGTGTGGCGCCTGCGTCTGTGAAATGTGGCACCCGTGGCTGTAAAATGTGGCGTCTGTGGCTGTGCAATGTGGCGCCCGTGGCTGTGACATGTGGCGCCTGTGGCTGCGACATGTGGCGCCTGTGGCTGCGGCACGTGGCGCCTGCGTCTGTGAAATGTGGCGCCCGTGGCTGTGAAATGTGGCGTCTGCGGCTGTGAAATGTTGCGCCCGTGGCTGTGACATGTGGCGCCTGTGGCTGCGACGCGTGGCGCCTGTGGCTGTGACATGTGGCGCCTGCGTTTGTGCAGTGCGGCACCCGTGGCTGTGAAATGTGGCGTCTGTGGCTGTGAAGTGTGGCGGCCGTGGCTGTGACACGTGGCGCCTGTGGCTGCGACGTGTGGCGCCTGTGTCTGTGACATGTGGCGCCTGCGTCTGTGAAATGTGGCACCCGTGGCTGTGAAATGCGGCGTCTGTGGCTGTGAAATGCGGCGCCCGCGGCTGTGACGCGTGGCGCCCGCGGCTGCGACGCGTGGCGCCTGTGGCTGTGACGTGCGGCGCCTGCGCTTGTGAAATGTGGCACCCGTGGCTGTGGCGCGCGGCGCCTGCGTCTGTGAAATGTGGCGCCCGTGGCTGTGACATGTGGCGCTTGTGGCTGCGACATGTGCCGCCTGTGGCTGTGACATGTGGGGCCTGCGTCTGTGAAATGTGGCGCCCGTGGCTGTGAAATGTGGCGCCTGCGGCTGTGAAGTGTGGCGCCCGTGGCTGTGACATGTGGCGTCTGTGGCTGCGACACGTGGCGCCTGTGGCTGTGACATGTGGCGCCTGCGTCTGTGAAATGTGGCACCCGTGGCCGTGAAATGCGGCGTCTGTGGCAGTGAAATGTGGCGCCCGTGGCTGTCACATGTGGCGCCTGTGGCTGCGACGCGTGGCGCCTGTGGCTGTGACATGCGGCGCCTGCGTCTGTGAAATGTGGCACCCGTGGCTGTGAAATGCGGCGTCTGTGGCTGTGAAATGTGGCGCCCGCGGCTGTGACATGTGGCGCCTGTGGCTGCGACGTGTGGCGCCTGTGGCTGTGCCATGTTGCGCCTGCGTCTGGGAAGTGCGGCACCCGTGGCTGTGAAATGTGGCGTCTGTGGCTGTGAACTGTGGCGCCCGTGGCTGTGGCATGTGGCGCCTGTGGCTGCGACGCGCGGCGCCTGTGGCTGTGGCATGCGGCGCGCGGCGCCTGTGAAATGCGGCACCCGCGGTTGTGAAATGTAGCGTCTGCGGCTGTGAAATGTGGCGCCCGTGGCTGCGACGCGAAGCGCCTGCGGCTGCGACATGTGGCGCCTGTGGCCGTGACATGTGGCGCCTGCGTCTGTGAAATGTGGCCCCCGTGGCTGTGGAATGTGGCGTCTGCGGTTGTGAAATGCGGCGCCCGTGGCTGTGGCGCGCGGCGCCTGTGGCTGCGACATGTGGCGCCCGTGGCTGTGACATGTGGCGCCAGCGTCTGTGAGATGTGGCGCCCGTGGCTGTGAAATGCGGCGTCTGTGGCTGTGAAATGCGGCGCCCGCGGCTGTGACGCGCGGCGCGTGTGGCTGCGACATGTGGCGCCTGTGGCTGTGACATGTGGAGCATGCGTCTGTGAAATGCGGCACCCGTGGCTCTGAGATGTGGCGTCTGCGGCTGTGAAATGTGGCGCCCGCGGCGGTGGCGCGCGGCGCCTGTGGCTGCGACGCGCGGCGCCTGCGGCTGTGACATGTGGCGCCTGTGTCTGTGAAATGTGGCACCCGTGGCTCTGAGATGTGGCGTCTGTGGCTGTGAAATGCGGCGCCCGTGGCTGTGGCGCGCGGCGCCTGTGGCTGCGACATGTGGCGCCTGTGGCTGTGGCATGTGGCGCCTGCGTCTGTGAAATGCGGCGTCCGCGGCTGCGAAATGAGGCGTCTGCGGCTGTGAAGCGCGGCGCCCGCGGCTGTCACATGTGGCGCCTGTGGCTGCGATGCGCGGCGCCTGTGGCTGTGGCGCGTGGCGCCTGCGTCTGTGAGATGTGGCGCCCGTGGCTGTGAACTGTGGCGTCTGCGGCTGTGAAATGCGGCGTCCGTGGCTGTGACGCGCGGCGCCTGCGGCTGCGGCACGCGGCGCCTGCAGCTGTGACGCGCGGCGCCTGCGCCTGTCAAATGCGGCGCCCGCGGCTGTGAAATGCGGCGTCTGCGGCTGCGAAGCGCGGCGCTCGTGGCTGTGGCGCGCGGCGCCTGCGGCTGCGACACGTGGCGCCTGCGGCTGTGGCACGCGGCGCCTGCGTCCGTGAAATGCGGCGCCCGCGGCTGTGAAATGCGGCGTCTGTGGCTGTGAAATGCGGCGCCCGCGGCTGTGACATGCGGCGCCTGTGGCTGCGACATTTGGCGCATGTGGCTGTGACATGTGGCGCCTGCGTCTGTGAAATGTGGCACCCGCGGCTGCGAAATGTGGCGTCTGCGGCTGTGAAACGCGGCGCCCGCGGCTGTGGCGCGCGGCGCCTGCGGCTGCGACGCGCGGCGCCCGCGGCTGCGACACGCTGCGCCTGCGTCTGTGAAATGTGGCACCCGCGGCTGTGACATGTGGCGTCTGCGGTTGTGAAATGCGGCGCCCGCGGCTGCGACGCGCGGCGCCTGCGGCTGCGACGCGTGGCGCCTGCGGCCGTGACATGCGGCGCCTGCGCCTGTGAAATGTGGCACCCGTGGCTGTGAAATGCGGCGCCTGCGGCTGTGAAGCGTGGCGCCCGTGGCTGTGGCGCGCGGCGCCTGCGGCTGCGACGCGCGGCGCCTGCGGCTGCGGCGCGCGGCGCCTGCGTTTGTGAAATTCGGCGCCCGCGCCTGTGAAATGCGGCGTCCGCGGGTGTGTAATGCGGCGCCCGCGGCTGTGACGCGCGGCGCCTGCGGCTGCGACACGTGGCGCCTGTGGCTGTGACATGCGGCGCCTGCGTCTGCGAATTCACGCGGCGCCCGCGGCTGTGGAACGCGGCGTCTGCGGCTGTGAAATGTGGCGCCCGCGGCGGTGACACGCGGCGCCTGCGGCTGCGACGCGCGGCGCCTGCGGCTGTGACACGCGGCGCCTGCGCTTGTGAAATGCGGCGACCGTGGCTGTGAAATGCGGCGTCTGTGGCCGTGAAATGTGGCGCCCGTGGCTGTGGCGCGCGGCGCCTGTGGCTGCGACATGTGGCGCCTGCGGCTGTGACATGTGGCGCCTGCGTCTGTCAAATGCGGCACCCGTGGCTGTGACATGCGGCGTCTGCGGCTGCGAAATGCGGCGCCCGCGGCTGTGGCGTGCGGCGCCTGCGGCTGCGACGCGTGGCGCCTGCGGCTGTGACACGCGGCGCCTGTGTCAGTGAAATGTGGCACCCGCGGTTGTGAAATGCGGCGCCTGCGTCGGTGAAATGCGGCGCCCGCGGCTGTGACACGTGGCGCCGGTGGCTGCGCCGCGCGGCGCCTGCGGCTGTGACGCGCGGCGCCTGTGCCTGTGAAATGTGGCGCCCGTGGCTGTGACATGCGGCGTCTGCGGCTGTGAAATGCGGCGCCCGCGGCTGTGGCACGCGGCGCCTCTGGTTTCGACATGCGGCGCCTGTGGCTGTGACATGTGGCGCCTGCGTCTGTGAAATGCGGCATCCGCGGCCGTGGAACGCGGCGTCTGCGGCTGTGAAATGCGGCGCCCGCGGCTGTGACATGTGGCGCCTGCGGCTGCGACGCGCGGCGCCTGCGGCTGTGGCGCGCGGCGCCTGCGTCTGTGAAATGCGGCGCCCGCGGCTGTGAAACGCGGCGTCTGTGGCTGTGAAATGTGGCGCCCGCGGCTGTGACACGCGGCGCCTGCGGCTGCGACGCGCGGCGCCTGTGGCTGTGACATGCGGCGCCTGCGTCTGTGAAATGCGGC